AATTTATACAGAAACAACCCATATCAATAATTCTTTTAGCTAACTTATTTTAGATATTAAGTAGCTTCATTACTCTTTGTATAAATTCACTTACATTTGTTAAAAGTACCGTGTTACATATTGAGGACATTCCTTTCATTTTGATATAAGTTGGGTTGACATAATAATAATTTGGTATATAAAGTTGTCTAAGAGCTACAACAGATACATTAGTACATTGGTATAAATAGTGGTATTCGTCCCCAACACAGTTATTACATAGGGGACATAACCTTTCCTCGCGTGGGACTCTATTCCATCTTCCTGTTTCTATAGGCAATTTTATATTTGATGTTCTAAATTTACATTCATTACGATTAAGCTTTAAAAGATATGGTTCAATATTAAACTGATATTTGAAAAAGGAGTAAACTTGCCCTCGCGAGGAGGTTTCAACATCATGAAACCAACTTTGAATGAATTGATCGCATAATCTCTGCTTAATGATAGTTTTCAAGCATTGTCTATTAATGGTACATGAAAGTCTATAAATTATTAAATCCAGTATTGTTTAAAATATCTCGTATATTCGTTAACCATTTAAAACTTAATACAGAATTCTGGTGCAAATTGTACATTAACTTATACATTACACTAGATAATTTTGATCCACCCGTTATAAGCTTATGCCAGAACATAACCATTCTAACACTGATTTCAATTTCTAGGGGATACCTTCCCAACTCACCATATACAAATGTACCATATAATTTGGGACGCTCTTCCGAATGTTAAGAATTTCCTTACAAAACTAAATGTATTTTTCGATACTTTTTGTATTTTCATAGTCCCAGGTTTCACATCCATATAATAAAATAGGTGACACAAGTGCATCAAATAATTTGAGTTGAAGATCTACAGAAATATTTCTAATCTCAATATACAATGCATATAAAGCTTTTTTTGCTTGCTCTGTTAGTTTACTTTTGGCTTTTGTAAAAACACCATTGTAGTTTAATATTATTCCAAGATATGTGTACGAATCTTGTATTTCTAAAATCTCATTATTTAACGAAAAGTGATGGTCTCTTTTACTTTTTCTTTTTCAAAAATCAACACTTTAGTTTTTTGGGTATTAACTGTTTATTTCCATATACATGTATTACGATAATTTTGGAATTCATTCAATGCGTTCTGTAGGCCATCTGGTGTTTCTGAAAAAAGCACTGTATCATCAGCATATAATATAATAAACAATTTTAAGTTCAAACCTAAACTTTGATCACTAAGAGCATACACTTCATTCAAACAAGAAACATAACATTGATTGAGGAAATCCTCTAGATTGTTAAGAAAGAGGGAAAACAAAAATGGTGATACCTTTTCTCCTTGTTTTACCCCGACATTGCACATGAAAAAGTCAGATGTATCATTACCATTAATTACGCATGATTTAGTATTTTGATATAAATTATAAAGGACTTTAAGTATTTTGCCCTTAATGTTATTATTTTGTAATTTTCTCCACAAGCCTGGTCGCCACACCGTATCAAAGGCCTTTTTAAAATCAACGAATGAACAATATAACTTTTTACCCTTTGAAAAATACAAAGAAATTAGAGAATGCAATATAAAATGTTTTCAGAACTGGAATATCCCTTTCGAAATCCCGCTTGGGCGGAGGATATCAGGTTTATCTTATCAGATAATTTTGTTAGTCTACCATTAATTATAGAGGTAAATACTTTTCCCAAGCATGACACCTGAGTAATCGCCTTATAATTATCCGGATCGCCCTGGTTACCTTTTTTTGTATATAGTTTTAATAATACCAACTGTCCATTCTTGGGGTATTAACCCAGTGTTGAGAATGATGTTGAAAAAATCTGTATGTAAAGGCAAAAACTGATTGAGAGTATTTTTTATATATTCATTCCGTATTTCATCGATTCAGCTCGCTTTATTATTTTTTAAGCTTTCTATCGATCGAGTTCACTGCTACTCACACTTTTATTGAACCAGGTTTCTCTTCCGAAAATAATACATAATTTGGTGGCAGCGGTGGGATTGATTGAATGATTCCTAGTTACATTAGGCATAGGTGTGAAAGGTTATTTGCGAGGTTAACTTACTTAAGCATAAGACATAGATCTATAAGTTGGTTAGATAGGTACCTGGTCACCATGTAATCACTTATGAGGCTAACGCCAATGGATCTGAGGTAAGTGAAAGTTATATTTAGTGATCATTTGTTCAGGATTCCGTTTTGTGTAAGTATATTTGTGGTATTTTTTTTATAGCAGAATTCTAGTTACTTGTATTTGAACATTTGGGTGGTATTATTGGCAGGGTGTTGTTCACCATGGATCCACTTAAAGAATTCATTAAGATAGGAGAAGGCCTGGGTTATACTGGTAAAGATCTTCAACAGTTTGTGAGGGATACACAAGATAAGGACAGAGAAGATAGACTCTCCGAGAGAAATTTGAAGCAAACAGAACTTCAGAGACAAGAAAAGGAAGCTGAGAGGCAACATGAGATGGAGATGTTAAAAGAGAAACGAGCGTTGGAGAGAGATCAAGAGGAGAGGGCTAACAGGGAACATGCTAGACAGATGGAGTTGTTAGAGAAACAACAACAACAGGTTAGGGTTGACAGACATGATGAGACGAGGCAGATAGAAGCGACGACAAAAGGGCCCAAACTCCCCCCATTCGAAGAAGGAAAAGACAATATAGATTCGTACCTGCAGAGATTTGAGCGTTATGCCACGACACAGAGATGGGTGAAGGAAACTCACTGGGCAGCTAACCTCAGTGCTCTTCTAAAAGGGAAAGCGTTAGATGTTTTACTCGATTACCAGTCGAAGAGAGTCTCAACTATGAGGTGTTAAAGGATGCTTTTTAAAGCGATTTGAGATGACAGAGGAAGGATTTCGGAAAAAATTCAGAACAATTTGCTGTCAGGCTGGAGAGCGAATTGGTTAGGTGGTTGGAGATGTCGGCTGTAGAGAAGACATATCAGGGACTTAAGGATTTGGTGGTAAGGGACCAATTTTTACAAGCATGTGGTAATGACTTGAAATTGTTTTTAAAGGAGAGATCACCAAAGTGTATCAAGGACATGGCAACACTCGCTGATCAATTTGCAGAGGCCAGAGGTAATATGGCAAGTTTCTTCATGAGACAGAAACCAAAGTTTGACAACAAGAACTTATCACGGGAGAAGGATAAAGTGAAGAGTGATGAAGGACAACGACATGGTTCGAACAGCAAGTTTGGTGGAGAACTTAAAACTCAGAAGGACAGGCAATCAGCCGGAAACGGGAAATACTGCTACATTTGTAGAAAGGCAGATCATTTGTCCTATAACTGTCCAAAGAAGTCCGGTAAAGCTGGTGCAGTAAAAAGTAAAGACAAAGAGCCTGTCATTGGTAATGTGTCTTCGGAGGAGGAGGATTGTGTCGCCGAAATGCCGGTTGTTCAGGGTTATGTTGGCGATACCTTAGTATCTGTGTTACGTGATTCTGGGTGTGAAGGAATAGTAGTGAAGAAGAGTTTGGTAGCAAAGGAGCAGATGACCGACGAAGTAGACTCTTGTAAAGTGGCCAATAGTGCAAGTTTGCAGTAGACAAGAGTCTACTTCGTCGGTCATCTGCTCCTTTGCTACCAAACTCTTCTTCACTACTATTCCTTCACACCCAGAAAAATCGGTTCAGTATTATTAGAGATATGAGTATTTGTTTGAACGAAAACTATTGAAAATATTGCCATATTTATTTCGTAGTGGTTCATTCCGGCCACCACATTCACGTCTAATTTAAAATACTGCTCAGCATAACTTATACCATTGTAACGAGTATAAAATTATATTTCCTATGTTGGTCTCCGAATAAAGATCCATTATGTATTGACAGATATGACCTAATAAATAGAAAACTTCATCAAAAATCTCTCCACGCCTGTGTCCATTCCGGTTTTTGAACTCGCCCGTAATAAACACAACATCGATTTTCTATGGCTAGGTCACAGGTTTTTTTGGAGTGTTTGAACCAAGGTAAAGGTTCGGATAGATTGTATGTTAAACGTTACTGTATTTTCAAGGCAGATAACCCCGTTTTATCGCCCGAGCCACGCCTGGCAGGTGTACGTGATTTCGTTCACTAAATATTTTTTTCTTATTTTTTAACCGATCACTTTCGATGGAGGAATAAAATTGCTCCAACAGCAAACCACCGCGATTGTCCTTCTTCGGTGATGCTAAATATAGATTTCCCAAATAAACTCGTTTTCAAAACGAAACTATAGCGAGTCGAGCTGTCGTCTGCAGAATGGGCCCAATGTAACAAATTTACATAAGTGTCACGACACTTGTTTTTGTTTCCTTTTCTGTTTCGATGTATTGTCAAACAAAATTTGAATAAAACAAAGTTAAAACCAAAACAGAATCTAGCCAATTTTCTTGTGATCACTTTGAGATCATTTAAATAAAACAATATTTTACCATTTGCATCAAGAAGATATCAAAAAGAAGCTCAAATATAATAAATAACGGCGGTTTGTAACGTACACGCCCTCTCAATGACAGGACACCTATCGGAGGGAACAGTCATTATTTCGAAACTAATCTAAAATATTAGTTTGTTTTTGTCCTCAAAAACCTTCTGGAGCATTGAAATTGTTTTATAAAACATCCAATGAAATAATTGCTACTAGAATATGTATAGTTGATATTTTTTCCACAAAAGGGTCGATGTCACCCCCAACAAAGGACACGTTTTTTATAAAAAAAAAATCATTATTTGTTCAAAAAACATTTCTAGTCTATGAAAATCGGCTAATCTGAATGAAATATATTGAATTCATACGACATATACTTATATTCGCTTTATTTACTAAGAATAGCACATTTGTAGAGTGTACGAAACCACGTCCCCAACTGCCGCGAAACGTGGAAGTAAATGATGGTAAAAGAAAGATCCCTTGCGCAATAAATTTCTGCGCATATGACGTCACATTACTGAATATAGCGCAGATTGATCCGATCTTCATGGAGATGTCTTTGAAAACAAATATATAAATCTGTTTCAAAAGTGTACGAAATCAGGTACCCTCACTCTACGTAGCAACGGCCTTGACTTCCAATGTGTATTTGGACTGTTTTACCAGAAGTGACACCGAGTGGCACGGTAAAGTATTGTATTGCTAATCTGCTTACGTAGCAGATACTACTTAAGGTTTGGGGTTCATTGCTATCGTCACAATGGCTGAAAATACAGCAATAGAAAAGCACATCAACACTTTTGTATCAAAATTTAATGGAGACAAAAACGTGATCAGTCTGAAGATTGACGGTGTAACAATAACAGCTTTCTTTTCAACTGGTACACTGATGATGCAGGGGAACCTTGTGAGGGAGTGGTTCACCGAACGATTTGAGGACATCCTGAGGAATTACGATGCCCCAGATGGTCCATCCCAACCTGTACTTGCCATGTCCACACAGTATGAAAATCAACGGGAAAGCCTTCTGGATAAGAAAGCTGCTGGTGAGTGTCACGTTAGCTCTGTGAAAATCAAAGGTTGTGATTAATTCCTTCACACTGTCTTGGTATTTCAATAATTAATTCTTTTTTGTTTGATTTAATCTTTAAATAAACCTTTAATAAAAATTAAAAAAAACATAAACCCAGTATTGAATATTTTATACCCATTAAAGAATGTTGACAAAATATTACCATCTGAGAGTTCAAGAAATATGTGATGGTTTTCTTTCTAAATTAGATGAAGCCTCCAGGAAAGAATGGGAAAGAGAATAAGTGGCTCTATGCAAGGCTGATGAAAATATGACCACCCCAATACTTAGTGATAAATTCAATCTAAACCTCACTTAGGTATATGCATTTCTTCCCTTGGTAAATAAAAGCTATGTCACTTTTTCATAATGCTTCCGCTAGGGGTCGAACCCTGGTCAAATGCTTATATAAGAGAAATTCTCCCTAGCCTAGCCGGTAGATAAGGAACAAGATAGTTCAGTAGTTTGTAAGGATTTCTGGCCTTTTAAATGGTAGTTAAAGAGAGAGAGAAAATTGATGCACACGTACAATATACATTTTCCCTAATTCAAAAACCCAGGCTTCATTTTTTATTTTTTATTTTAAATACTTGAAACAGGATCTCATTCATTTTTTCCCTCCAAAGGCAAAGGGATGCATGCTAATTTTCAGTATCAAAATATGGAATAATCAAATAAAAGATCTATCACCGAAATGAGAAAATCTTTTCTACCCTCACAAAACTAGTCTGCAAATATTCAACAAATAAACCATGTCAATATTGATATACAATACATACCGTGATGCATGTTTACAATATAAAACATTACAAAGTTACACTTTATGGCATTGGTAGCAATATTACCAGCTATGTAATTCTTGTTTTTTTAGAGGTGTAAGGATTTTTATGTTTTAGAAGTGTAATAATATCTATATATAGAGGTGTAGTGATTATTACACTTTAGAGATGTAATTCATGTTCTATTTTAGAAATGATTATTGTACAGTGCTAGAAATTAATTTCAAGAATCAGTAGTCAGACTAGTAATTTCCAATTTTATTAGTCCATGTGCAAATTCCACTTACCCAATACCGTATTATTCAACATGATACTCACAGTAAGTAATATATCAAACTTTGATTAGTCAGTTTGGCTAGCAATTCCAAGAACCAGCTGGAGATTTCACTACCTTATTGCCAAGCCTTCATTATAGTTTAGAGGTGCAATGATTATTACATTTAGAGGTGTAATTTTTGTTGTATTTTTGAAGTATAATTTTATTTTAGAAGTGTATTTACAAACACAATATTGACAGGCTTATAAAACACAATGAATCATGTATGGCTTAAGGATACAATTCACCTTTGGATTGATGAATCATAACCCTTTATTTAGAATATGGGTTGATGGTCATTTTTTATTTTTTTTTATTCAAAATTGAACATAACATTATGTTTTGATACAAATTGTTTGCAAATGATATGTTGATTCATGAACAGCTTCTTTACATATGATATGACATGATGTTAAGAATCCTCTTTTTGATAATTACTAGACCTTGAAAGGTATTTGTTCTAAATAAGTGAAATTTAAGTCTAATGAATAATTAAGCAGTGGATAACATTTGTACATATTTACGTTAAAACCTGACCCAATATGACTGGACCAAAACTTTTAGTCAGACTCCAGTTAGAGCTAAAGTTGTGACATTATGGAAAATTGATGGAAAGGAAGATCAAACTTGGCACGAATTGGACTAGAAAGGTTTCCTAACACGTGGACTGTACTCTACCAGTCTAACAAACACTTGGTCCCTATGGTGTTAGTTTTATACATGTTACATTTTGGAAATGTGTACAACACACAAACTCGGTAACTTTAACAGTTTTGCAGATATAGGACACTTATTTCACTACTATAGTTAAATGTTTCTTTCACATTTTTATAGATGTTTGTTAAGAGTGTATTGCTGCCTTTTAGATATGTTCAACATTATGTAGATTTTTAAGTTTGATGCAAAGTTAATTTTGGTCAATGTACAATTCATTAAGGTCCTTTGGTTAAGTTATCATCCATGCAATTGGAAACTGTTCAAATCTAATATTCAAGGTATTGGATCTGTGAGAAGTCTAGTCGTATTTATAGGATGCTTTGAGATGTCGATTTGGCAATTTAACCGGAAGCTGTGAGATTATTAATTATGATCAAAGATTGAAGCGAATAGCTATGATAGCATTGTTGATAATTTCAATTTCATGAAGGCTACATGGCATTTTTATGGCATTAAGGAATTGTATTAAATCTTATATCTGATTGACCAGTATTTTTTCCTTTCTTTTTTACACGATGATGTAACATTTACATTACATTATAATTACATGGTGCTTGTGTTATTCATGGAATCAAACCTTCACAATTTAAGGTGTGTTAGTAAATACTGGTGTAGTATTTTAATTGCTTGCTCACTAAAATAATTTTCTTTATACACTGTAACTGCTTAATAGATGTTTACATTTTGTTTATTGTACGTAACATTGTATGATAATTTAATTTCAATAAAATGATCAAAATGTGTTTGCTTGGACATCGCTTATTGTATACATATTAAGTCATATTTATTTTAAAAGATTAAGTGTTAAATCCAAGTTGATGACCAAAGATAAAAAAATAAATAATAAAAAATAGAAGTCTTTACAACTTCTTCCAGAAAATTATTACACATTGCCTCTGAATACAAAGGGGCTCTTGGTATGATTATACCCTCTGCAAATAGTGGAATTAGTTATATATAGGTAGCAGAATACAGTAGAAATGGCCCGACTCTGATAAACAAGGCACATGTCGAGGAAATGTAAACACAGCGGATTTACCCTACACAACACATGTATACATGTATATATATTTGTAAACTGCATTACATTTACAATACATATAAAGTACTGAGAAGTGTATAAACCTCTTTTTTCTATGTATGTCACTTGTGTGAAAACCATGGTTACCACATCAAAAATTACCAAAAAA